CCTCTGCAGGGGCCCAAACCCCCTTGGGCTCCCCCCAGCTTGAGCTGCAGCGACAAGCCAGCAGCTGGTTCTTTAGGTCCTACGGCGCTTGGGCGCATGCGCTGGGTGGAGAGTTACTTTTGGGACTTCGTGTCTCGCGGGAGCATCCGTGGTTTGTGTCGCGAAGTGTATTCTTCTGTCTTTTTGTCATATTTATATGTTTTTGTCTTGCTAGTTAATGGGTGGGTGTTGCTGCGGTGGCTTTCCCTGGCCCCCGTGGACGGAGTCCTCGTGGCTGCGGAGACCTTCGTTTCCTTCATGCTCATTTTTGAGGTTACCCTCAGGTCAATTGTTCTGGTGCGCCGTCTCCAAAAGTGACCCCTTGTACACTACTTGTAATTTCAAAGACAGGTTGTTGAATATAAATTCAAACAAGCAAGTGGCACAGGAACAAGTGACAAAACGTGTCGCGTAATGCGTTCAACTCAGCTGGCGAACAAATTGAGTTTGTTGCACGTAATTCTTCTTTCTAGTTAGGCCATTAGATTTGGAGGCGGAGCCCAGAGGAGCTTCGCTTCTTTTGAAGTTTCCCTAATGTGTCTTTTTTGTTTTGGATGTGCTGTAATGCAATTCATGTACTCTTGTGGGCCTCGACAAGAGCGCTTTCTAAGTACTTTTCATTGTTTGTTGCACCTGTACCAGTGTCTGTCGCACTCCCTCTTCATCTGCTTGTTGTCACTCTTTTCTTTATCCCCAATATTTACTTTTTTCGCCTTTACCTTGGTAGGTTGTTTTGTTTCCACGTGTTTCCTCTTGTTTCCATCAGGGCCCTACCTGCTTTTCGTCATGTGCCCACATCTTTGACTGTGCCGTCACTGCTATCTCCGTGACCCTCTTTATCAATAGCGGAGATCTCCAGTCACTTTTCAGGGCCTCTCGAGCCCCTCCTGTGCCACGTGGTACTTCTGGGGCCTCAGGGGCTGCTGACGACTTCTTAAGAGAACTTATGACGACGCTGCGGATCGTTACGCAAGTTGTGCGTCTCGTCCCGCTTGCAATGCACCAAAAGCGAGCGAAAGTAAGTGTTATTTGCTTGGACTGTTTTGCCACTGTAGGCTTCCATTGTGGCAGCTTATTGGAAGATTCTTGCGGCAGTGCGACTCTCTAAGGCACTGGTCTGAATCCTCAGCATCACCAGGGGACCGAATAGAAGGGAGTGCATGTTTCGCATGTGGCGTCGAAAGCAGCGCTCCACACGAAAAGATGCATGCACAAAATTGGCACATTCCTACTTTTCGAGATGTCCAAAGCGCTGTTGCTTCTCCACGGTGTGTGTGATGCAGCTGCCGCAGGATGGTGTCGACTTCTCGCGTTTGGACCCTTACGATGACCTCTGATAACTCGTTTTCTCCTTGCCTGGAAATGGCGGAGAAGTCGCTGAAGTTGCCGGAAACTAATTACGGCAGTATATAGGGCTTGAAGAATCGCACAGGAGCTACACAGCGCAAACACCTTTTTAATTTGTGAGTTGTGTCTTTCGAAAGTGCTGTCTCACAATGGCAGCAATTAGCACAAACTAATGGAAGTATTTAGTTTTTCGTAGACGAATTTGCGAGCTCATAAGCGGATTTGTTAGTTAGCCCATAGAGTGGCATAGACGCCTACCTGTGAGCTTAAGTATAAGGAATACTTACCTGAAAGCCACGGATACCGGTAGACATGTGGATTAAGGTAGTGCAGGGTGTGGATAGAGGGTGGAGATTGCTGCCTTAGGGCTTCTCTGGTCGGTCTCCTGGGAGTGCTTTCTGCTAATTGTCTCAAAAGTTATGCTTTCGCAACCGTTCATAATCTATCTTTCATCGTCAGAGCCTGTCAAAAAGTAATAATATGCTCAGTGGAAACATTAGTGATTTAAGTCCTGTGTTTTTAGTGTGAATGTTGTCGGCCTCCATTTTCTCAATGTCGCAAGCAGCATCGAATGACAAGGAAATTGAAGAAAAGCTAGGGACAGACACGGTTCCAGGCTTTGTCTGTTGGTTTGCCAGTGGGGTTCAGGGATCCTCTTGGAGGCCACACCGCGGGACCTGCCGCTCCAGTGCTCTGCAGAACACCAGTGTCAACAATTCCGTGAAGCTCAGAAGTGATATAGCAGCTGCATGTCGGCCTCTGAATGCCAGTAGGGGCTCGGTTGTGGAGGCCATCTAGTGGCCGCAACCATTTATCATGTCTTGGAAGTGTCGGCTTTGTGAGCAAACAAATGCCTACTTTGCTAGTTTAATGCGTAGCAAATACTCTTTCTGTAGAGTTCTGGAGCTGACTTAGTGATGTCACATTCCAGGCAATGACTCTACAGAGATTCCAACATTGTTGCGCGCTGCATGGGACAGATTTGTAAGAAATTGCTAGCCCACAATGACTGGAGAGGTGCAGCAAAATGGCTGACAATCTGCGGGCATTATATACGGTCTTCCCTGCATTATCTCTGCCAATATGGTATAAACGTCCAATAGAGAACACAAAGGAAGAGAACGGCCGATCGACGGAGCAAACAGGCGCCTTTGTGGCAAGGCAGTGGCCATCCAAGGTTCAGGGGAGGCGGTTACGCCCCTATTTGCACCCCTAGACGATACAGGCCACAAGCTAGGGCAAAACAGCCAATTCAGGAACTGGGAAGGCAAACGTTTGCAGATTCGTACCTGCTTCGTTGCCAACTACGTGCCTCTACCCGGACTGAACGGCGAGACGCTCCATGGCCCTGTGGATAGCGTCAGAAAGGCCTTGGATGGGGACTTCTCGAGAAGAACAAAAGAACCTAAGAGGCGCCCAGCCTAGTGACTCCTAAGGTGACGAGTCACACGGAAGAGTACAAGGGGTCGCCTTAGCCCGATTGCTGCAGGCAATAAGATCATAGCAAACACATATAGAGGTACTTCGCGTATTTCGTGCGCAGCGAGCCAATCTTTCTGCGCGATTTCCGTCGGAATGCTGCGAAAGTCCCCTTGAGACCACCACGTCTTTCTGTTGCATGGCAAGCTCCCCAGAGTCGCTCAATGTTTTGGCGACAAGACGCCCCAAAAGCTAAGCCTTCAAGAGCAAGATGTAGTTACACCGTTCACGCATATATGAATAGACCCTAAGACGCTCAGTCAGTTGTGCTTCAGAAGCATGACGATAACTCAGGTGATCAGAAGCTGGAAGTGGTGGTTAGCAGCTGGGAGTCCAACGCGCTTACGTGTTGCGTTCAACCTCTCCGTACCCCTCATGCAAGCAATATGACAGGCGTTAAGACAAAAAACTAACTAATTCTCTTTTACGCTGAATTTAACAGGAGAGTCTCCTGAGATCCGTGCGGCAAAAGACGGCCGGTGGAGAACAGCTTTTTGTTCGGCCATCGAATTTTTTCGAGGACAAGGTTCTGCTTTTCACTTTCAAAAGTGTCTCAGCTATCACTCAAAAATGCACCACCACGGGTCTCTATCATTTACTTTGTCACGCTGTTACTGCTTGCCTGAAAGTTGTGCTGATATATAGCTCCAACCAAGCCGGGCATTCTCATTCAGGCCCACGCATGTATTTCAGCTCAACCAAATGACTTTTTTGTTTACACATATAGAGCGACGAAATCAATACGGGCAGAGTCGAAGTGTCCAACGATACCAACCCTAAACAGTCACTCACGCTTTAAAAGCAGCCACCTTGGGTGTTGACCGTTGAGCCCTTGGTTCCAGGTGGTTTCACTGACGGCGACTGCGGGCAACGAAATTACTTTGCTAGATGGGGCAGAGACCTTTCTACACATAAGAACGGCCTTACCGTGCAAATTAATATTCTGGAGTCCCAGGCCTCTTAAATATCCCATGACGCTCTCCAGCGTTCTATAAGTACCAGGCAGCCCCTTTTTTGAGACGTACATAGTAAGAGCACAGTAACCGCTGCCTTACTCTGTCCGTTGTTTCAAGGGGCAAAAACTAGCAAACGAACGCTGTTCAGTGGCGAATGACAGTGCACAAAAAAACTAGCAAACGTACGCTGTTCAGTAGCGAATGACAGTGCAAAAGTTGAAACAACTTAGTGCCTTAGTTTATATAGACACTTGTAGACGACTGTAACTCTAACCTCCATTAGGCAAAAAATGCGGCTTGTATCCTCTTGTAAGACTTGTATTTCCTAAAACAAACCGAAACAGAGCTTCTAGGTCTCTGTAGGACGTAAATCTGCACCCTTCTGACTGTTTCGGTGACAGCCCCAAACTCCAGTTTTGGAGCTGAGACTCAGGCGTGGGCGCCCTAAGAGCTCCATCTTTACCACACACCCGGACTATATCTGGTTGCAGGCGTTTTAAACCGGTTTATATCACCATTAGCGTTGCTATTGAGCTTAATTGTTGTGGCTAGTACTAAACTAGCTTTCCGAGTGCCAACACACGACCTGGGCCACACATTCCGCAAGTCCGATTCTTAACCCAGGGAACATAAAACCTAAGCTGGGAAAGAAGTGATGGAAAAAATCGACAAGAAAATGTGTTCAGATTAGTCGGGGGTTTTGATATATTTTTTGCACGCTGAAAACATTATTTACAGATAAAGTGCTGGGCCGCTCGACCCCACAAAGCGGGATGCAGGCTGCAGCTCCTTGTCAACTGATCATTCTGGCTGGCTCTTGAGTTAACAGCAGTAAGTATAGGTCACTTACGCAAATATAAGAAATTTTTTTGGGTCTTTTAGATTCAGGCCAACAGCCGACCAACAGTAACAGCAGCTGGTCTTCTCTCTCCGGCAGTCGCCACGTCGCCAGCGCGCCTCGAACCGGAGCACATCGAGGGTCTCTGCTTCCTGCGTCGCTGGGGTTCGTTTTTTTGAGGCGTTTAGACATTTGCACTAGTCCTCAGCGATGAATGAACCATATTGGGCGAGCAAACATTAGTGGGCTGCCCGCAGCCTTGTAGCCCCCGCGGCTGTCCGCGGCGACACATGCTGGAAAATCTGCATCACTGGTAGCAGAGGGCATGACCACTGGGTAAGATGCTACAGCAGTTGCACCGGCATCGATGCCTGCCGCATTTGCTGCTTCTACTGCTGCAGCTGGCAGCGCAAGGGCACCAAGCTGCCAGCGCTTCCTCGGAGCGCTCCGCAGAGGCGGAGCTACAAATGCCTTCTCAGTCAGACTTCCACTGGTCTTTTGCTGCGAAAGGTCCTGAGATCTCAGCAGCAGGCTTCCCTCAGCCGCAACAGTTTTCTTTCTCGGATTATGCTACAGGCGCAGCCGCCTCTGCGGCAGCTGGAGTGGCGGCTGCGGAAGCAGCAGGAGCAGGCCTTTCAATAGACCACACAACAGCATCTGATCGGGATCTTCTGAGTCGTCCGCCCAGCCGGAATGTATCTCTCCCCCGAAACCGTTACCGGGAGCTGCTGGGAGACATAGGAGACATATCCGTGGAGGCCTCAAGCCCCACCCTGGACCAGCGGAAGGGCAGGATTATCAGCTCAAGGTTATGGAATTGGGGGATTAAGGATCTGTATGTCTTTTTGCTTCTGGGGATCGCCGTGTATGGGGTGCTGGCGCTGCGGGATAAGCTGGAGGCCGCAGCCGTGGTCAAACAGCTAGCCACTGTGGAAACCGCAGCAATTGAGGCTGAGCAGCTAGCTGCAGCTGTGGGCACGCAGGCTTCTCTAGCTATCAAGGATAATATTCACAATACAGTGTTTGATGCTGTGGAGGCGAGCGAGGAGCTGCTGGTGCAGCAGCAGCGACGAATGGTTGTGTTGCGGGCTACGGAGAAAGAGCAGCAGCTTCTGCAGCAGATCAAGGCGCTCATGAAAGACTCTGTAGATCAGATGCGGGAAATGCTTCAGCTTTCAAAAGAAACCATGAGGGAGGCCGCTGCAACCTTCCCCACGGCCACGCCGCCGGTGACCTGGATCAACACTGTGGGGAACCACCTAAAGCTGCTGATGGGGGCAGATTACACAGGGGCAGTTTCTACGCTGCTGCACTTGCTCGAAGATGAGAACAATTACTTAAGAGCCCGCATCCATGCCGTGAGGGACATTTTCTTGGCCGAGCCGGTCTTCGGGAGCGAGGTGGAGGGGTGCCAGCTGTCCACAGCCCTGCACCACCTGCAGTATGGCTGGGCGCTCAAGAAAGGAGCCAACCTGGGTATTGCTGCAGCTGCGGATTTGCGAGATAGCACTTTTGAGGCGCTGAAGCGCGCCGTCACCAACAGCCTCGAGGCGCAGAGGCAAGGCTTCGCTTTCGGGGTGGAAAGGGTGCGCGCGGTGCTGCGGATGTACGGGGCCCCCGGCGATGGCTTTTCTCGCATGCCGGCCAAAGAAAGTGTGGAGCGGATGAAGGAGCTGCTTGCAGCAGCCGACGAAGTGCACGGCAAGCTCGTGGAGGCCTCAGCGGACGTCCAGACAGAGGACACGGTGGAAGCTCTGACTGCAGCAAGGCTCTACGCAGAAAGGCTCCAGACGGAGTGCTCAGAGATCCTACATGAGTGCAACGAGCTCATTAAAACCTGGCCGAGCCCTGGAGAGCTGGTGCTGGCGCAAGACCTGATGCAGGCGGTGGCCAAGGGGCCTGTGTGCTTTGCTGAAAGACAGATAGTGGCTGTGAGGGAAATAGTGGCGGAGGTGGAGGGCCGCATCAAAGAGGGAACTCACACAGAGCAGCGGCGACTGCGAGGCCAGCCCTACATTTGCACCAGCGTGACGGAAACACTACTGGGCGCGCTGTCAGCTGCGGCCGAAGAGGCCTCCGCTGGGCTGGAGGGGTGCGTATCGTTGCTTAGAGAAATACAGCGAGCGGAATCCGTGAAGACCGCCATAGAGCTGTCTTGTAAGGCGCTAAACTACTTTGTTCCTGTGGTGGAGGCTCGTCGCAAGGCCGAGGACCTGCGGCTCCAGTTCCTGCTGCTACATGCGCTGGAGGTGGAGATTGCGCAAAGCCTAACTGTCGTATCTGCCTACGAGAAGATCCCTCAGGAAGCCTCGCCTGAAGCCCGCGCCCAACTAGAGAAGCTCAAAAATGAGATGAACACTGAGGAAGCCTTTGTCGAGGTGGCTCCTACCCTTCTCAATGTAGCCAGAGCTACAGCACGCATGAGGTTTTTGGCTCTGAAGATTCAAGCGCACTCGCATGCTGCGGCCTGTGGCATATCCGGAGACGTCGACATCCATATAAGGCGCCGAGATGCCAAGACAGAACATACCGAGCGACAATCGTACTTCAGAACGTGAAAAAGCGGCGCGAGCCATGATTCCGCATTGCCTCCAGCAAGATTTTGTGCCGCTGCACAGTATGCCGCCGCTGCTTCTATACAAACTGCGTTTTATGAGACATTTGGTCGTTATTCATGTGTAGGAACAGCTGGCTAACAGTTACAGTAAAGGGATTCATGGATTGTTCCTGTGCCAGGGCTTCATAGGGCGGCGGCGGGCTTTGCGGGAGAGACGAAAAGGAATAAGCAGGGATAGAAGCAAGGAAGATGCACTTGGAAAGTGGAGAAGAAACAAAGTGGCACAGCGGACGCGCAGAAGAGCACAAAGGGAGCCTGACCGCTGCTGGTACGTTGGTGCCAGCAGCCTTCGGTCTGTACAGCGCTAGCGGTCGATACAGTTTTAGAGCGACGGTCGCAGGAACATCACCTGCAGGGGTGCTTGCAATGTCAAGCTTGGTTCTGCGCTTTGTCGAAGCCGACTTAAGCTCGGAGTCTCCTGTTAGTAATGCCCGCCCGTCCTGTCTTGTCCACCTCGCCTCCCCCCTTAATGTTCAGTTATTTTTGAAGTTTCTCGGCTAGCGAAACTGGTTGACTGCCTCCTGCGGCAGTAAACGGCTGCGGCTGCTGCTGGTACTGTGGAGAGGTGTTTTTATGATGCTGACTATGAGGATGCTGTCGAAAGGCTTCGACGCTTCCAGCAAAGCGGGCCCCGGCCACCGTTTCCTACGCTACAAGACGCAGCATCAAATAGCTTCTTTCGAGGAGGCTCCAAAAGAGACAAGAGATATAGGTTGCCGCTGTACTATATATTTGTAACACGCGCTCGCCTTAGATTCACGGCATGTACTTCCTTGTGCCTGTGTGGCCCTGTCGCTCTTGGGCTGGCTCTGTCGCTGAGATGATTCTTATTCAGCCATTTATGGCCTCTTGGCGATTTTCTTTTCGGGACTTCCGGTGTGTGTTTCAAAAACAAGGGTCTTAATGCGCCACCTGACTCGTCAACGGATATTGTGTGCAGGATGCTTTCTACGCTATGGAAGTTCAGAAATAGAATAAAGAGGATGAGCGAAGGCTGTATTTGCTGTTGTTTGCATCAAGTGATATCATTCCCACAAGCAAACAGCAGTAGTTTTCTTTCCCTCTTTACGGGAACGTTCCTTCCGTAGCTCGTCATATATTTCAAATCTTCTCTTGACTGGCGACTGCGGCGGCAGCGGCACTAGCAAGAATACGAAGAATAACAGCGTGTGTACTAGGAAGGACGCTTTCGAGCGATACTGGCTTGTTTGTTTTGGTACACTAAGAGTCAGTGGACGTTGAAACAGGACAGGCACAATTAAGGAAAGCTAGTGGAGGCAGTCCCGTGACGTGTTTGAAGAACACATGGAACAAAAAACAACACTATCACCAACTAAAACTGTGAATGAAAAAGGTGGAATACTCAGGAATGCAAACCTAGTGCTGTGCGACGTCAGCAATCGAGGAATGACCAGTTGAACCGAGCACTGTGCTCCGAGCAAGAATACTATTGAATTAAACTTGTGCGCAAAGACTATAAAACACGTCTTTGGGGGAATATACAGCATGTAGGTGTAAAAGTAGGATAAACGAGGAGATTCCCCGATAAAACAGGAGGAAGTCAGCACAGCGAAAGTAGCAAATCAACAAAACGAACTAGCAGAGAAGCCAAGTCGGCATATCACCTGGAGCAGAAATAGACGGGAAACAGTCTTGGAGGATCGCAGAAAGAGCACACCGGACGGCCGGTCCCCAGAACGAACTTCTAAACAGAATCGGGAAGGACAAAGGCAAGCCGCCTGGAGAAAAGGATGTAACCAAGCATAGCTGTTTGCTGCCTATGCACACGAAAATAGGCAAAAAGCGATCAGATGCGAGGATACGTGAGGCACGAAAAATCGACGATTATAACGTAGATCTCCATTTGAGCTGCGAGTAACACTGAGAGTCTCGGCGCCAGCTGCTCCATGCTCTCTCTATCTTAAGGGCTGAAAGTACTGCATGGCCTGTAGTGTTCGTTTATAGCCCGTGTGTCCCGCGGCTTATCAAAAAGGATTATAAAACACTTGCAATATTTATCCGTGGACAGTATGAGATACGGGCCCAATGCACAAGAATTCCTAGAAGCTCAGATCTGTCGACCACGAAATGCGGAACACTGCAGGCACTTTCGGCACGCATACGCGGGCGTGGATTATTTCAATGGCTTCATGCAGGGGCTGATTCTCAAAGTGATTCTATCTGCATGCCATGGAGAGGTCACTTCTGATAGCGGCTCTATCTGCCTTGAACACTAATGCTTCGCTGTAGCTCTGTGGAGACGAGCAAAGAGAATTACTGGTGCACTCCAGGCACACAGGCAGGCCCTCGAATAAGCAACACTGAACTGCTGCGCTTGTCAGGAACAAGAATGAAACGCGTATCGTAGGTAGTGGAGTAGCAGCGATAGTGCTTTATTGTGGTCATTTAGTGCCGTTAGTAAGTGCACAGAGCCCTTACTTTAAGCCGGTGCACAGACGCATAATGGAACTGAAACATTTTAAGACGTAATTAAAGTTAAAAAAGCAGCCTTCTCTTATTAAAGACTCGAAGGTCCGAAAACTTCGAGAAAACCCTACTTCGATACAGAGTCCTTGTGAACGTGTTCCTCTTACGCACTTGGTCTAGAGATGCCCAGTGAACACTAAACAAACATAATTTTCAAAGGAGAGGATGCATTTATGACTAGTTACATATGACAAGATTAATTGCCAGCCTTAAAGCTAGTTTCATTGGCTGGCACTGGGAATGAACCTGACCGGCCTTTGACCGTGGCAGCTAGCTAGAATGGCAGCTAAAAGATCCATGGGGCTGGTCTTCCACACTGAAGCGTCAGCATGCCTTCTACATTTTTAAAATTTACTTGTCTAAATTAGATTGGTTGTCTTGAAAGTACTAAAATTCACCCACTTTTAGTGATACTTTGAGGGGTCGTCTGGGCGCAGGGCATTGCTCTCCTGTGCTGTGGAAGCAACGAGGCGCTCTCATTCTTTCATTTTTCCTTCCCTTTTCACTGCCAGATATTTGATCTTTTCACTTTACTTATTTGGTACTCCTTTTGCTTGTTTGCAAGTTTCCCCTGGTGGAATTTTCTAAATATGACATAGGTGATCGAGGGTTACATAGGTGATCGAGGGGTCGAAGAAGAACCCCATGAACACCTCGGAACTCTAGTATTTTTTCCCCTGCTCTCTTTTTGGCTTTTTAGATGATGCCCACTTTAGCGGGCCTGTTCAGCCTGTGGCTCCTACTGTTTTCGGGGTTGCGACTTGAGGGTGTCCTGTGTAAAGACGGAGTTACGAGCGGGGTTCAGAAGGATGCGAACGTACGCACTGCGGACTCTGCAAATCCCCAGCGTGGAGTCAACAAAAGCTTCATAGGAAACTTTGAGGATATTACTTCTGACGAAGCGACGGCAAGGCCTCATAAGCCCAGCTTCATTGGGCCGAGCGTTGAGGTCATTGGCACCGGGGAAGACGATAGCACAATCAGCAGAAGCACCACCACCACCACCACCACCACGACCAAAACTACAAATACGACACAGACGTCCACAACTACCAAAGCTCCCACAAAATCGTCACCTAATCTGTATGTAGAGGCCCTGAGAGCGAAAGGTCCCTTCAGTAGTTTCGAGCCGTGGGAAGCGGACAATTACTTTGACCTATTAGACCCCTTCGTGAACCTTTCTACAACAACCACAACAACATCAACGACAACAACAACAACAACAACCACAACGACGCCCGGTGTTCCCGTGGATAGAAGCTACCCCACAGAAATTGTTGAAGTTGGCAAACCGTTTCAAGAAGAACTGGAACGCTGCAGATCTACCCTGCCGATAAGTGCAGTTTCACATGGAGAAACTGAATTTCTGTTGAGAGGTGGCTGGAATGTACAAGTGGGAGAAGGAGGGAAGACACTTGATTACAATGCAGTGTCAGACGACCTGCGGCCTCCTCCACGGTGGTTAGTTGGGAGACTCTGGAGGGCTTTCCGGAGAAAGATCAGCATACCATATGAGTTCTTCAGGATTGTTTTGCCCATGCCGCAAGGCTGTTTTTACATTCCAGGTGATGTTGGGACTGGCGCGGCCGCCATTGGAGATCAGGAGAGAGTCACAAGCATTCGTGTGCGACTATCTCCCGAGATCTTTGTCACCTTCGGAGTCTCTTCTGTACCACCACCTGTTACTCCTGTTCACGCCGAATTCGGAAAGGGGAAATTCATGGCTGTTGGAGATTGCCTTTTCGCCATGGAGGTTATTAGGCCTATTACAGCGGACAGTCTGTTGCTGAGAGCTTCAGGGCTGAGAGCAGTTGTGGAGTCTGTAGACCACAACGGCGTATCCAGATTTCCAATTCAGAATTTTGAAATCCCTTGCACGTGCCGTCCTCAACGAATGGGTCTGGTCAGCTGGTGGGTGGGCGAGGGCCCTAAAGGCTTCCCTTACGTGCTGTTTCACGTGGGTTATGATGGGGACAGCAGGCCCGATGCATGCAGCAAACAGCAAATTAAGAAAGTGCCTCTTGGAGAGCTAGATAAGCAAGTCGTGTACAATGACACACCCTTTTATAAAATCGAATAGCGGAAAGGACAGCCGCACCGCAGGTCTTCACCGTGAATGCAAAGGGATGAACACGTTTTCCTGGGCCTGGCCCAGAGCGCATGATTTTTCCGGTCCATTGGCTGTACGAAGACGAGCAAGGTAAGTAGTATTGCCGAAGGCGGACTGGCAACTGCAGCGAAGGTTGCAGCTGCTGGTTACAGACAAGAGCAAAAAGTAATTGTGTCCCAGTGCCTCTCCCACTTGTGATGGCAGGGCATCAGAACTATACACATCTGTGACCTGGTAAATCGTGCGCAGACGGCGCTCGTTAGCTCCTATCTGTTGGAGTTGACAAAGTACATTTTTAAGCATGGGATCACTGTCGGCTACTACCTGCTGGAGTTGACAAAGTACATTTTTAAGCGTAGGATCACTGTCTAAAGAGAAGCTTTACCTAGTTGAAGGTGTTCTACTGAATCTGAACGTATACAAGGACTGCTGGGAGTGTGACCGGAGTCGTGGGCCACCGAAAGAGGCAAAGGCTGCACGCTAGAGGTAACGGGGTTTGAGGGGCGAGAACAAGAAGCCCGGCACGGAAAAGACTGCCTAAAAAGCCTCTGAGGAACCCGACGATGTCAGCTACCCCTCATATTACGCTCGAGCTACTAGTAGTAGGCCTTGCCACGTTGATGGTGGGACTCCTACGGGACTCCCTGGTGTGCGCACACAGCAGCGGGGTTAATTCCACGCAGCTTTGTTTTTTCTTATGGAGACAACTACTCTTCGTGACTTATATGATTTAGCATTGCGGGCTGACACAGACACCATATGCTGAGGTAAAGACCTCGAGTTCCGTTGTTACAAGCCTTGTTTGACGTCATTCGCTCAACTCGAGAGCCACCTGCACTGCATTGCTGAATGCCGCCTGGTTCGCGGCTTTTTTCAACGACTTTTCTTAATTTTATTAATTTTATTACTGTTCGCTAGCTGCTGCCCTTCGCGGTTGATAGTAACACTTCAGATCAAGGGGCCAACGCGGCACAAAAGGCTGACCTTTAAATTCAAATTCAATTTAAGTACTTCTGCAGCAGATCCACACGACGCCGTCAGTCTTCAACAATAAGTAGATTGCGGAGATATTTTAATGGGGAGGACGTTTCAAACAGCACAGCTTTGCAGCTAATGCACGTTCTGTAGAATCAATAAATATACTGGCAAACATTCCATGAACAAATGGGAACACAGACGAGACGCTAGTGGCAATTGAAAAGACACAAAAAAGGTTTGTTTGCGAACGTCGTTCCGGAGTAGTGCCTATCCTGTTGGTGCCGTCTGAAATGTTCACACGCTTGGCAGAGCGGGATGCCCCTTGCTATCGTTAGTCGCGATCCCACGCTGTAGCTCTGCTCCCGTGCTCGTGCCCACCGCAGCAGTCACACACGGTGCGACCCCTGGAGTCAATTTAAAGACTGACGCTGAGTACGGCGCCCCCTCAAGGATAGATTTTAGAGCCCGCAAATCAGTATCGATGTACATCAGCAGGTCTGAAACCGAAGCGGGAAGGCTGTGAACATCACCCGTACAAATACGACCCGACGTAGCTCCCTAAAACGCTGCACAGCAGCAGGGACAGCAGCAAAGCATTACGTTAAACAGCATCGGCGGCAGCCTAAATGGATTTTGTAAGCTAGGGGAACGTTAACCAGCAGCAGCTTACTCATTGCACTCCCCAGCCACAAAGGCAAGGGCTTGGCGCATTGCATCGATGTGACTGCCCAGCAAGCCCGCTGTGGACGGATCCTCCCTGCAGCAGCAATCACAACAGAACCAGTAACAACAGTACCACAAACAGCCGCTCCCAAATGAGCAGTGCCCACAACAAGTGCTGCACACGTCTGTGTCAACAGTCGTCAGTGCTCGCGGCGTTGCTTACGAGTGGTCAGCTGCAGCCACAGATTCACGGGTTCTCGCAAAAGTGCTCTCCAGCGGTGCGTCTTTCTTCTTCAGGGGCTCGCGCTGCAGCTGCTCTGGCTGTAGGTGCGACTGCAGCTGTGGGGTGTTGATGACGGTAGGGGTAAGAGGCGGAGGCTGCTGGATGAACCGCGGAGCGCCCTTAGAGCTCCTCATTGTCCCCGTCTGGACTGGACTGGTATTGTTACCCCTGCTTTTTCTGCTGCTGTTGCTGCTGCTGCTACTGCGGGGGTCACCAGCGGCAACAGCAGACGTTGGAGTGCCTCCTCTCCGCACAGCCAGAGACAAAGCGACTATGCACTGCACTGACTCTATGGGGGGGAATTTCAACAGACGGCGCAAACAGCTGCTGAGGTCACTTTCCAACAAATGCTGGCGAATAAACTTCAACATCGCAACAGCAAAGTAATCAACCAGAGGCAGTCGCTCAGAAGCTGCAGTAGCAAACTCCTGTGGGGTGCGCGCTGGTACTGTGGACTTTGCTGCCACTGCAGGTGGAGCTGCAACTGGCGAGCTTGCTGGTGTCGCTTGCTGCTTGGTGGAGAGCCAACTATCTGAAAAGAGGGCATCCCATATAAGTAAAGTGTCTTCAACATGAAATTCCCGAGAAAACAGAAGACGCAGCCACCGCAGCAAGAAGAGCTGAGGCTCGACCCCAAGCCCTTCTAGGTGTAAGTAGACTGCAGGATCGGCCTTAGCTAACAACGAATTGAACACCCTGCTGCACCTCAGCAGCACAGCAGACTGCCCTGTGGCTCTCGAATGCATCGGAGGGCCTCCCCCAAGAGGCCCGAGGAGGCTGTCCTTGACCTCAGCAGGTGCAGGCTCCTTCTGGGGAGGCAGATACATGGAGCGCAAGCAGCAGCCAGTCATCAAGCCATCAAACAGGCGAAATGCATCCGCTTCTATATGTGCTGGATCTGCGGAAAATATGACGGAAAAGGCCGAGTCAGTATCCCCTAATGGTGACGAAGGGATGGCTTCGCGAGCGCACGCAAGGTACAGCACAGCCAGCACCTCATTCATGCCTTGTTTGTAAGACACGTCGGTGTTGCTCTTTGCCCAGGCGAAGAGAACTCTTTGTAATGACCGTCGTGTCACCTCCCGGTTGAAGATTTGCCTCTCAGGGTATGTACGTTCTATGTCGCGCCAGATCTCCTCCTGCAGCTCCTCATCAGCCTGTTTCTGGCTCCAGGGATTTCCAGCGGTAGCAGCGAGGGGATGGAACCTCTGCGGGTCTAGTGCGGCTAGCTGGCTAGCTGAAAGCTGCTGCTGGCGCCGAAGAGACTCGTACTGCTGCCGTTGCTCTTTCACCTGCTCAGCCCACTCCTCAAGTGTATCTCCACTTAGCAGTCCAAGCAGCCTGGCCCAATGCAGCCTCCTAAGAAAAGGGACTACCAAGCGTTCCCCTTGAGCAGGCGTCCCAGAAGAATCCCCAGCTACGGCAGCTTCGAGCTGTCGCTGTAGGCGAACGATGTCTAACTGCTGCCTGTCTACAGCGTCCCCGTACAAAACATGCTCGGCCAGTGTTTTGAGGGGAAAGTTCGCCGTCGAGTGCTCTACTGCCCGTGAAAGGGCCGGCAGCACATCGGGAGTAAGCTGCAGCAGCCCGACCTCCCCTTCAGGGGCGGTGTCGTCCATGGTTAAGGCTGGCTTGTGAATTTGTCACTCCCTGGTTGTGGATAACTGTCAGACACAATGCAGCGGGAAATGGTAATAGGAAAAATTCCTGGCCCAAAGTGCTGGGGCCGCCTGACGTGCCGTGAAGCAGCTCGTTTTGAACGAGTAGAACCCTTCTCAAGATACAAATCAGGCTCGGGAAAATGCATACGACACAATAGGCGATAGATGGCCCATGTGGGAATGACTCAAGCTGTCAATGAAACGCCTGAGGTGTACCCATATTGAAGCGCATGCAGACAGCGAGGCGTTGACTGAAGGCCATCACAGAAAAGCCCGTATTCGTAGCTCAGCGTGCCCATCTGACAGAATAATTCGAGCCCTACGCAACCACGCAAGCTGAAAATGAACAGAGCTCGCATCAGTTCGGCTCTTGTTGCTGAAGAAAAGGACTTGAGCGACCAGCGCAACCGCGGCGACTCAGCTCTGTATATCCGACCCTGGTTACCTTTGACAAAATTTTCGCCACTTCAATAACTCATGCAGCTAATTTACAGGCAAAAGGGCTGCCAACTGCGGCCCGCGCTGGGCCTTCCTACAACAATGGTGGCAGCGGTCGGTAGAAGGCCACGAGCTTGCATGCTGTGCAGCTGCCTCAGTGTCAGAAATTGTTATAAGCAAAGGAAGAGGCGAATGCGCCGTATTTTGCTCATGAATTTTGAAGATGAGCCATTCACAACCACACACGTACACACTCTCGTGTCATATGCTCGCAGTAGATGCTGCTCGTGCTCCATGACGTCTTCGCTCAGGAAACTTCTAGTCCTAAGTCAAGTCTTCCACAAAAATTATGCACTTGCTGATTTTATAGTCAAGACGACATAAACACTGACACGTGAACCCCGCCTCCTAGTCGCCTTACTGCGCGTTCGTTTGTACAGTGCCCACACATAACCCACCGAAGCTGTGGAGAATGTCATGCCTTGAATAACGGAACACGTATTCGAATTTTTTCTTTTGGCGTGTCAGGGCCTACTCTACTCATCGAAATGGCACGTAGCCCATGCATCTATAAACATGAGTGGTCTGTTACAGGAGTGCAGGGGCGCATATTGCTATGAAGACTGATTCATGGCGGTGAAACATCGCCTACACTGCAAACGGTAACTTGATATTGGAAGTGCCTCAAATGAGTGTCTTATTAAAAGTAGCTAGGCGATTCGTGGTGCTGTTGCTAACTGCCGCACTCCCATGGCTCCCGATTTTGCGGACATTGCCAGCCTGCTCCTCGGCCTCACACAAAGAGGCATCCAATTCCAGTGGGTAGAACTTGGTAGACACACTCTAAGACGTCTTACTCAACTTGTAATCGATTGGGCGATCGTACAAGCCACAGACACCACAAAGCCCACACATAGTGCACCAGTGCACCGCACTATATATGGGCTCATCAAGCTCTGCAGTAAAGGCCGTACTCAAGCAAGCACGCAAACCAATGGGCTTCTACAGCCAGATTATGAGCCGAGCTGAGCAGAAATATTCGGCACGCCATTAAGACCTTCTGGCCCTAAAATAATGAAGGGCCGGAGGGACAGGGTCCTGCGGGCAGTGAGGCCAATGGCTTCTGGCTGGCAAGAAGAACTAACACTCGAGTGCCCAGCACGGCACCGGATGAAAAGTGCAGGGAGATACCACTGAAGCCCTTGGCAAGTTGGATTTCCAAGGAATGTCATTTGGACCCCAATACTATACCTTTGGTGAGTAAAGATAAGTTTAAGCTTATCTGGGCAAAACACGAGAGAAATGTAATAGCGAAGCTCAGCTCAGCTCACTAGACCAGCGGCGCAACAAGCGTTGGTCAACTGGTTTCTCAGGAGTAAAGGTTGATCCGTGAGGCTGCATATCTTGATGGAAGCGCTGTTTAAGTGATTGCCAAAGAATGGCCTAATACAGTATTTTTTTGCTGCGAGAGGCCGGATTCCAGGCAGGCACCAAAGCAGTTTTACCGGTAATTTCTGGTGGTTTTAGTTCGACAATTCCAAGGGGAAAAGTGGAAGGCTAAATTTTTGCATAACAAAGGAACCACCAGGATCTAATACTAAGTTGATTCATCCAAGGCCTTAGCACTGCAATGCAACAAGGGGAAACCAGCCAGATCCGCCAGCAAAGGGATGCGGGTGGAGCGAGCAGCTCACTAGGGGTCCACTCGCATCCAGAACGAAGCGACCGAAGCTGGCAGTATACAGCCTGGAACAGTACTTGAGGGTAAGTCCACTCTGTGATTCTGTTCGGTGGCCATCTATATGGCTAGCGCCAGCGCCGTTACATGTTCGTTCCCGTGTGCCTACACTTGCTTCAAGCTATGTGCGCAAACAACCAGTAGAATGCAGGACTTCTGGGGTTGGCATTTTCGTCGTATAACCTCTTCGTTGCACATATATGCCTAGAGGAATGCTACCGCTTTTGCCATGTGCTGCCTTCTACTGACCGGGCATTTTCCTAGCTAGAAGGGAATAGCCGCCAGCCACTCAGGGGCTGCTCCCCATCTGGGTTCCCAGCCCTCGTTTACTGCCTCTCTACAGAAGCAGCATGCAGAACGTGGTGCATCTACTTCATTTCATGACACGGTTTGCTTTCTGTTGGCAGAATTCTGCTTATGTTGTCAGCTTTGCAGTGTCACGCCTAGCTCACACCTATTTGGAAGGAAGCCTCCATAGCCGAACCCGTGCAGTCGACCGTGGACCACGAAATTCCTATCTACCCTTCCCTAAGGTCTCATCCCTCTGTTGGGTCTTTCAGAACACTGAAATCGTGTCCTGTACAACAGAAGTCCCTCTACTGGCAGTTCAACCCCTCTTTCAATGTTGTCGCTACATTTGGGTCGGTTTGCCTAATGGGTTACGTTAAATTCCGAATTTTCTATCTGTGAAAAGCAGTCTACACTGCCAACTTCATTATTACACGTTCTGATACTTTTAGGCTTTCAGCATCGCCCATAAGCAAGGACTTTCCTCTCCCGATTTTCCTACAAACCCACTAACCCACAAGGCAACTTACGCGAGTGCAGTGTTCTCGAGAGGAGTATTGTAATGCTATATACGTAGTTGTCGTACTGGCGCAGCGGGAAGTTTCGCGCAACCGCCCTTGATCTACAGTGGTTCAATGGGTATAGCAAATTTAAGAGGGATGCAAACATCCCCATTTGCAATACCGAATCGACCAAACCGGAATCCTCCAAAACAACACCAAAATATATTATCTGTTCTCTGCGTTTGATTGAAAATCTCACTGTGGTGTTCAGCACATCAACTTTTTAGGCCTTCAGTACCACCTACAAGCAAGGGCTTACCTCTCCGGATTTTTTTCCAAGCCTATCGACCCACAAGGCACCTAACACGAACACAACATTCTTGAGAAAACACATTGGAGTGCTACCTACGTAGTTGTCGTACTGGTGTAGCGGGTAGTTGCCCGCAACAGCCCTTGATCGCAGTGCCTCGATGGTGGTTCACTCGGTTTGGGAAATTTAAGAGATGCAAACATGCCCATTCACCATAACTAACCGGAATCCTTCACAACAACGCCGAAGTATATTATCTGTTTTCTCCATGTGATTGAAAATCTCACTGTGCCTTACAGTACATCATCTACTGGGGGCGGTACAAGTTCTGAGCCCCCGCCGCCAGTTGCTCATTGACATCATCGGTTTCCAACAGTGGCTTGGGATTAGGTTACTTTTTGCCTTAACTCATACTTTTGCTGCACTTTCTGCGCTTTCTCTCCAGTTTCAGACACATTGTCCTGCCGAGCAGAGATGTGCTAGGCAGACACCGAACGCTGCTTAAGCAGTGGCGGCGGGCTGTCCTACGTGCTTCTAAGCCGCTACTTGTAGAAAACAATTTGCGCCAAAGCCTGTTTAATTTTGTTAGGCTTGGCAGCCTGGAGCGGTTGAGCTGTGGGAACTTGAATCTTCTCAGCTCAATTCTTGCTTCTTGTTACTGCAGCATCGACGTCATCGTGGCTGGGGCTTTCTATCGCTGTGGGAATACGGCGATGGCGGAAAAACAGGATTTGCCGCAGCTTGTGACAGAAGCAGGCGACAAAACTGATTTGGAAGCAGGCGGGGCAAGCAACGGCGACTCGGAAGACGATTCCCCTTTCACATCTTCCAGGTCTGCGTGTGGACATGGCACTAAGAGGCCCCGCATTAGGGCCAAAAGGCTACTGCTTAACCTGCTTTTGGGACTGGTTGCTGTCGCTGTAGTCGCGTCCCACGTTCGACTAATACGGGCCACCCTTCGAAAGCATCAGGCGTATCGAAGTGTAGTACCCCACAAGGAGCGACCTGGTATGTGCAGCACGCATGCTTTCAAGTGTTACGTCCAACTTCGTGAGTAACTCCTGTACTCTAGGTTGCAAAGGGGAACGGGCTAGATTTACCCGCCAGTGTGTGACTGCCCGTTGCTACTTTGTGCAATCCGTTGTGCTGCGGTTTTAGAGATTTCGCACGATGTAGAATATGCGCCTCTTCCACAGACAGCGGATGAGCCCGAGCAAGCCCATCCTACGTCAGGAGAAGATAGTGAGGGGTGGCATGAGGAGTTGCCTTCCCTCCCAGTTTCGCCGATCCCAGCGGCATTTGGAAAAGACACTGGGGATGGGACTGTGATCGCCCGTGTATCTTCCAAAGAAGAGCGTGAAGATGCCCCTCTGCGTGAAGACAGAGCACCCTTAGTTGGGGTTGAAAAGAATACTGAATCTGCGGGGGAAACTAGTATCACTTCAGAAGAGAGCGCTTCAAGCAATGACGAAGCTGACATCCCTCCACCAGCTTTGCCTGACGTCCCTCCAGTTGAGGCTGCTCCAGCTGAAGAGCGAGATCCATTAAAGGACTTGGAGGACGAGTTAGCTGCTTTGGAGGTTTTTATAAATGAAGGCGGGCCCACTACACGTGAGCCAGGAAGTCCGCCAGCTGACACTGCGGCCTCTTCACATTTGAGGGAGCCTTTGGCGACTATTAAGGAATCTGAGGCAGAGGAAGCATCGGACGAAGCAACAACGGTTGCGTGTAAGGAGCTTGCAACAACGGGAAAAGAGGCTGCACTGGATACTTGCTGTCAGTCTGCCTCTGATGCATTGCCGGGTCCCACGGAGACACTCAAGCTTCCCCAACAAGAGGTGCCTCTCCCCGAACCCCCCATTGAAAAAAAGCCTCAGCAGCGACACAGAAAGGCACCGAAGCCTCCACCGAACGCTCCACCTCCGAAGCCCCCACCGAGGCCGGGGCCTTCCCCTGATTCTGCCGAGAAGCAGGAGGTACAAGTTTTCAAAGTGTCCGCAGCTGGGTGTTGCTTTTCGTTTGTTCACGTGATATCTATTGAATCTCCTGGTCTAAAGAAATATGGAAGAGTCACTGCTGTGGATTTCGTGCTCAGGTGCCAACCCTCATATCGACCCTCACGGAATCATCATTTGAAGGGGTGTATAAAGTCGACGAAAGTGATTTGGAACGTAGGTCCCTTTTGCACCTCTTGGTTCGTACTTCTCATTTTGGCCGCCCAGGGCCCCCAAACTGAGAAGAACGAACCGTTGAACGTCGTGGAGCCCTGAGCCCCACGCTCACCACAGACGACCCTGTTTGCTGTCTTCTTGTTTTCCCAGCGTATAGAAGTATGCTTGAGGGGAACCTTGAAGATATAGTGTTTGTCCAACAGACTCCAATACCGAAGTGCGTCAAGGACGTTGTGTGGGGTATTTACTTGGAGCTGTATTCTCTTTTTTTTCGAGGTAGAGACGGGCCTTCGGTGCTATTTAAGCCTGCCATGTTCATCTTGTTTTGGGGTTGGTTGGTCGTCTCTTCAGGCAGCAGCTGGTGGACTTCACAAGTGGAAGCTGGCTCGATACCACAGTTATGCATATTTACTGCGCGCTTGTAGCTGTACGTCTTCGCCTTCAGCGCCGTATGCTGCCTATAGAGGCTTTGAGCTGGTATTAAGTGGGTTCTTGTGAAGTTGCAGATTGATATGGTGTGTCCGTCTCTCACTTCTTTGGTGTGTCCGCCTGTCGCTTCTTGCAGAAACACATCGAGAGTCGGGTTTCGTTAAATCTGTGAGTTGGAAGTAGACATGGATTCCGTACACACGCAAGCGGGCAGCCTACTAAATGAACATTACGATCAGCATGCTTACTGCGCAGGATGCAAAGTTAACAGTGAATCGTTGAAGCGCGTCCAGTAAAAGTTATGGACTGCTCATGAGAGTTTCGCTTTTCGCAGGCAGAAGGACGTGGCAGTGCTCAGCCCCGTTGATTTCGCCACCATGTGGCAGCTCTTTTTGAGGGACCATCGGATTCCGGTGCCATCGGAGGTAAGCTCCTGCTACCAGCTTGCACAGCCTAGCCGTCATGAACAATGTATTCGCAAAAGCTGCTCATTAGCCTTGCAGAGTAATTCGTTTTTGAAGCCTTTGCATTGGATTTTTGACTGAACTGTTTCCAGAGCGACATCACACGTTCACAAACGGCTTCGAAAGTGATTTTTCCTTTGATGGTCCCATTATGGGACTGGAGCGCAGGCCAGTATTCTGGCGCTGTGGGGCATTTCATCACTGCGGTTATTGACCGAGAGTGAGGTGCCCTTTTCCCCGTTGCCCACTTCTGGGAGGAGATCGGGGTTAACTGTCGCCACCTATAGGTGTAGTTAACAGATCAGAAACTTACTGCTGTTTGCATAGAGCGGTTTTTCCATGCGTTCAGCAGCCGTTGGTGTTTGCAAGCCTTGAGTGAAGTTAAGCGCTAACGTACAAGGCTTGTTTCCGTCTAGTGGTATCCTTGCGTGGCATTCAGGAACGCACGCATATCCGTTGTGGATAGTCTCCCTCACCCTGAACCCTTCTACGGGCCTATTCTCGAATTCCTGCGGCATGTTGCCGTGCAGCTACACAATCCAGCGAGTAGGCTTCCAATATGTCTCCGAGCTTTAGCAACGTTCACCGTGTGGTCAGGTACCTCGAGTATTTTTGGGGCTGACATTTTTGTCAGATGCATTTGTCGCAGTTCTGGTGTCGATTGTGCTTTCTGCTTAGAGGGGCCTGTACCGCAGTACAAAGCATCTCCACACAATCCTGAGGTAAGCGTGTCGTTTGCGCGGCTTTCTTTCGACTGCTGGGTCTAGGAGGGGACGAGCTACCTTGCGCGCACTGTGTTCTTTGTGCTGCACTTCAGCCAGGATTCCCATTGCAACTAGAGGCTTTTGGTGTGATTAACGCCCAAACTGTAAGTCAACAGAGCCGCGTTTAGTGATACCAAAGCTTTATGTTGCACATACCGCACATTAGATTACATGGCCCTCACTGCAGCATTGAGTCTTTTATTCTCATTTTCAGAAGGATTACACTAACGCTTGTGGCCCGTTCACCCTGGAGAACATTTTATGCATTGCTGAGAATCGGAAGCCAAACTATTCGATTCGGGATGCCCCCAGTTTGCGGAAGCGCTTGGTCAGCCATCTCATAGCTGTGTCCTGCCTCAGTTGCTCTTCGCAAAATTCTAATTGTAAAAACAAAATGCAGCTTTGATGTTGCCGAATATTTCGCCTGGATTTTAGTAGTACACGTCAGTGCAGTGTTGGGCTTTCCGGTGTTTCAAGAGGATCTGGGCATTGGGGCAAGCTTAATGTCTCATTCTTCGGAGGTCCATGCCTGTGTATGTCTTATGTGGCAATGTACATCGCAGCTATTGGAACTGTTGAACGGTCTTTGGGATCGTCCTCTGCTGTCCGGAGAGCTGCGTGTCTCGTTAGAATGATCGTACGCATAGGGCTCGATTCAAGCAGACCCTCTCCGCTTTTGAAGCAACTTTGGCGGCAAAGATGATGATTAATGAATATGTGCCTTCAAGTACAAAATGTATAGAATATTAGGGCGCTTCGTGGATCGTCATCGAGTGCGGAAGATTTTCGCTTTGAATGAAGCCTTCAATTCCCCGTAGGCATGCTTGCGCTGTGGGCTTGTCACCTGAACGCACTAGAGGCTCACGCGCAGCATGTATTTGAATCCTGGTAGAGTAAGATCAGACTACCATATTCATGCGAGGCTTTTCTATGCAAGGCAAAACAGGTTATATTGCCTCCGCTCTTGTCTTGTAGAAGCTTGGGCATGCCTTTGCAGTTGGCGTGAATGAAGGCATCCCGCGGCCCGTTTATCTGGATGTTTTTATCAATGTGGCTGCGATATTCGTTTGGGGAGCCATTATGAGGAGCGCTTTACATGTTTCAGCTCCTTCAGTGCCAGAGAGACCACGGCTCACCGCCGCTTTCATTGAGAACATTAAATGTGCTGCACCACGCCAGCAGCGCCATTTAGAGTCATGCAGACTCACCTTGTCAATACGGCGACGTCTTGTTGAAGGGCTACGCATCTGGAGATCAACCGTGTGGTGAAACGTGCCTTTCATTCGAGGTCTCTTTTCTGGTGCGCCTCGGCATTCTGCTTTCTCGAAACAGGGAGCTGAATAGGTGACATTTTTAGCCTAGTACTTCTACTTTCTAGCTATGTTGGTCTCTTGAAAGGTAGAGTTGCGCAGAATTCAGAAGTTTGCAGCGGATACTGACTCTTTGAAACCTCTTTGAAACGAGTTGGCCTCGCTCCAGGTTTTCCGAGCCGCCTGACCGATTGTAGCCTGAAGTTTCTGCAGAGTACGGAGAAGTGCTAGCTAGATACATCCTTTCCCTCCAACGGACTTGGTCGTGGAGAAATGCTGATAGCCATAAGGGACTTCGTACGGCAGAAAATGCACTCCATCCTAGCAGCATTTCGCAACCTACATACTACTGGACCTAAGCGTGGCACTCGCAGATTTACGCCCTCATGGGCGGATAGTTTGACTTCCCTGCACATCGGGCAGCATTATGGGGTGGAAAAAGGGCTTGTTAAACGGTGCGGGAAAGCTGTAGCCGGCAACTCCAGCGGTTTTAATAAGTATCCCTTGTGGGAGTATAACGAGTTTCCTAGAAAGTGCTGCTGCTCTGCGGCGCCTTATATGCACAATATGTGCAGCACACGTCGAGTGCCACGACCATGCATTTTGTATGTAGCACGTGTAGGCAATGGGTGATCCTTTCGCACGTCGCTGAACAAAATAAGCATATGTAAGCGCCGATCGCTCCCCTTGTGTCACGGGTTCGTTAGATAAGCATGCGCTCTGAAATTAATTCAACTTTCCCCACTGATGCAAATGTCTGATGCGAGCGCTGCTTGAATCTGTTACTATTGTCCAGCTATTTGCTGTCCGACCTCCTTTTCTGTTTCCCTGTATGTAAGCATACTAAACCGTGCCTGCAACTGTCTCTTCCGTCCCTTCGACGCACTGGCCCCTCTGTCTCTCGTTTCTCCTGCATCGGCAGCAAATCCTCCGTCCGGAACCAGTTCGTGCGAGAAACCTTGCTTCTGTTGCACTTTACTCGGTTTTGAGTCAGCCTGCCGTTTCTTCAGCCGCGGCCCTACCGAGCTTTATCAAAGCCTGAAGTTGCCCCCGGTGTCACGGCCGCAGGTGTCGCCGCTGCTCCAACCAGTACAGGAAGCGTGTTTTGAGCAAAACATGCCACCCTAAGCCGCATTGCTTCGTGCATCCCTGACGCTTTACAGGCGACGGGTTGTTCTAAGGCAGGGCAACCCTGGTTGGTTGAACAGACGCCCTCTAAGGGCAGGCGTCCACAGTAACGCAATACGCATAAGAAAGTAAGGAAAACAAAGCTGCCCGTCGATGTGCTTTTTCTGCGAGATACCGCCGAAAATGCAGGCTAGCTTCTGCTGAAGCGAAAATTGCCACGACTTGCTCAAGTCCTGCAGGCCTGCTGCAGCTGTTAGTTAGCATGTTCACGTTGCAGCAGTGGTTCGACTGCTGCCGCCGAGTAAATAGTCCTCGTACTGGAACAAAATGTACGCAAGTAGGAGAAATTCTGCTGGAATCGGAGTATATGCATCTTTCAATCAGCCTTCGCAGTAAACAGTAAGCCGCTGATGCTTCAGATGTCAATAGGTGACCAGACGACCCCCAGTCAAACTGCTAGCGAAAATGCTAGCGAACAGATTGCTAGCGGAAGAGCTAGCCAAAGATTGTGCAAGCAGCCTTTCAGGAAGGCTATTCGGCGGCAGAAATTCGGTGGGAACGGTTGGTCCCAATCCGGCGATGCATCGGATATCAGGTACTCCCTGATGGTACTGCACCAGTTGATGCATCATCTGCTGATATATTTCCCCTGCAAATTCCCTCGTTGATACATCAGAGGCACTTGCCAGCGAACATGTGAGGATCCCTCTCACGGCTTGAGCGTCGCTGTACCTCTACTTATGTGGACTGCCCTTGCCTGACACCTCCCACTCAACCCCACGATTGAATCCCAATCGTTCCCCTGGGCCCGCTTTTGAGGCCCTGCAGCTGTGTCGCTGTTGCTACTGCTGCTGATGGATGCGTTTGCAGGCACTGCACCCCTCTGTGAAGCTCGCTGTTTCCCTTTGCTCCTGCTTGTGGGAGCAGGTATCTGGCAGCCCTGCAGCATGTGCGTCCTTTCAATTGGCTTCTAACGCTGCACGCAGTCTCGCATATATATGATCGCTGCTGAAGCGTCACTAGTATGCTAATGCTTAGAGGGTGTTGCTGCGGATCTCGTGCTGCTGCTGCTATCGCCGGTGCCCACTGCATTGTCTTCTCAGTTCGGTATAGCAAGCCACTGCATCCGCTGCAGCTGCATGATGCCTTGCTGTTGCTGCTCTCCAGCTGCTAAAAAATCATTTGGTGACACTGCTGGAAGGAACAGCGCCGGCTGCTTTTGCTGTTGTTCCTGTTGTTGCTGCTGTTGCTGTTGCTGTCGTTGCGGCACGGTTTGCTGTTGGTCAGCTCCAGGGATGAGGATACTCTGCTGCTGTTGCTGTTCCTCCCAATTAAGCAACGGTTGAAAGCCCAGGCCCATACTGTTTGATGCTGCTAAGCGCAGTCTCGTCCCTTGTTGTTGCTGTTGTCCTACAATCCTCTGTACACTCTGCTGATACACGTCCTGTTGCAGCTCTCCCTGCTGACGCTGGAACTGCTGGTGAAGCGTGACAGCATTCTGCTGACTTTGCTGTCGCTGCTGTTGAGACACATTCGGCGTGAGCTCATGTCCCCAGAGCAAGTTCGTGTCTGCCTGCAGAACGAAATATATATGGAGCAGTGAGATGGCTGAGTCCTTATCTGTTCCCGGTGATAGCACTGACGCGAATAGCAGCAAACTCAAAACTGGATGTCAGCCGCCCTTTTGAATACGTGACACAAGGACCAGACACTGTGCCAAGGCAAGAATTCGATGTGCAGGGACAGACCTGGCGCTGCACCACAGTTTCTGTGAAGCTGCTTGGTGTCCAGAGCTTCTGAAGTTGTTCCTGTTGTGATAGTGGCGAGCATCCCTTAACATCTGGTAGAAGCGGAGAGGACGCCACCACAGGAAGGGGGCAATCAGCTTCGCCATACACACGTAGCTGAGGGGGCTGTTGCTGCTGCTGTATATCTCCAGTTACTAGCCCGAGGCCAGGCGGTGTAGCTTCTGAAAAGGCTGGCCGCTGGTGATGCTGGACTTGCTGCCAGCCCGCTGTTGTTGGAAAAGGTGCAATGGATCCTACCCCCACAGCGAGCGGAGCCAACTCCACGGGAACTGAGCGGTGCTGCCGGTGCTGCAGCTCCTGTTGCTGTATCTGTTGCATTTCTTGCAGCTGTTGTAGCTGCTGCAGTTGATGCAGCTGCTGGTGCTGCTGCTGCATTGGACGCGCATCCATCCACACTTCCTGAGCTAAGCGAAGCAGGTCATTCTCAGATCCATGTGCCTGCTGCTGCTGCTGCTGTAAATGGAACAGCCTCTCTTCCTTCGCTGAAGGACTAGATAGAAGCAGTAGCTGCTCCTGCTGCTGCGGCTGCAGTCTCTCCTTTAAGCGTTGCCTTTGGCAGTGCGAAGGCCGGCCTACCACTGATGTAACTGCATTGACAGGAGTTGATATAGGCTCCGCCTGTGGCACTGGTGCTACGTTTACCACAGCCGCAGCTGCAACGAGCACATTTTCGTCGGCTTGTCCTTGGTACGCCGATGTAGATGCCGGCTGAGAAGGCAGAGCCTGTTGCTGTTGCGCGTGTTGCTGCTGTGTCGTACGAGCCACCTGTCCTCGTTTCTGCTGTTGTCGGCTTGTACGCGAAGTCTTTGCCTGGTGTTGCTGCTGTTTTGGGTGGTGTTTCTGCTGCTGTTCTGTCACATCGCTGAAGAGGTGAAACTGTTGCTGCTGGTGACGTCGCTCTTCGGCAGTATCTAAGCTCAACAGACTAAGCCGATGCAGCACGTGATCCTGTTGCGAGTTCATATGGACATCCGCTTGCTTAGCTCCTTCCTCCTTTACCCCTGTCATGGGAAGAGCCACGGACTCCCCATCAGTAGCAACGACAGCTGGGTGAGTCAGAGGCTTCCCATTAACCCACAGGGGGACTCCGAGACGCCCAAGGGATTCTAGTAAGGCCGCTCTCTTTGCCGCTGGTCTGTTCTCGATATGCGCAATGACGCACGTCTCAGTTAGCTTCTTCTGCTGATCCCTCGCGGCGGAAACTCCGCTACGTAAATGCGCTTCCCAAACCTCAGGCAGCAGCTGAGGGGCAATACAGTGGCGACACAGGGCTCCAGAAGGCGCCTTTAGAATAGGACGGGTTCCAATGCTGTAATGACGGAAACGAGGGTCAATCTGTGCCACACAAGCTCCACGCTCTCAACAAAGTAAGAAAAAGACTGTCTGGGGGGCTCACAAGGCACATTTCCCCCCAGCATTGTTCTCGCTCCACCTACTTCTACTGGAATCTACGTGGTGAAAATGGGCGATAATGAACTTTGGCGATAACACAAATGATTTAAACAGGGCTCTGGGTTTGGCTACCTCGCAGGTCATGCCGTGGATTGCCTTCGTGGTGACTAAACGAATTTCGCTGGTGCAAATCCCCTTGACTGCGCATCCAGAAAAGTCCCTCACTGGCCTGTCGAGCGGCCTAGTCTCGAATGCCCGGATGGTCAAGTCCAGACATCCGCTGCTGCTACCTCCACCGTTGCTGGTGTTCAACGAATCCGCCTGCTCTGAACTGCGAGATGTACTTACCATAGAGTAGCGCCAGATGTTGTTCTTTTTCCCTGAAAGAGTAACGACGTCGAAAATGAAGAGTCGTACAACTCGGACAGCCACTATTCAGCATCACAGCTCCTGGAAACGCATTTTCAGATAGGAAACTGGCTTCTGCTTCCGTGAGCACATTACTACAGTAGCAACCTCTAGAAAAAGCAGCAGCAGAAGAAGCCTGACCTAGTGCTGTATGCTGTTGCCCAGTGCCCTTGTGTCTTCTGCAGCAGGATGATCTACCCGGAGTTGCAGCTGCCGTGTTGGTACTTGCTGTCATGTTCTCTCCTACCCTCAGTCGCTTGCCATCAGTTTGCTGCTGCTGCCCGTAAGTCCTCAAAAGCCCCTCGACATAGTTCTCCAAATGGCGTAGAAAAGTCTGAAGCTTTTCGAATTTTCCGCGCTCTTCCTCCTGTGGAATCAATGGGATAAAATGCATTGCGAGGTGCAGCATTTCATAAGTTTCACTGAGCACATGAAGTACTGCACAAGCCAATCCAGTCATCGATGAGAGGGAATTGTAAGTAGCGCAAAAGCAAGCATTTTGGCGCTGCATGAAGGAATATAAGGGAGAACAATTACAGCTCCCAGATAGATTCAGAGTGGGTGCTGTCAACACAAGAGCAATTTAAAACACGGCTCGGGACAAAAGCACAGGGAAGACGGTGCACGATAGACGTCAGAGGAATCTTGAACAGAAAAAAGGGAAGGGAAAGTAGCTGCGGGTAACTTATTTCAAGGGGCACGTGGCCAGACGTTGCGTGTAGAAGGATAGATCTTTATTACGGGAGTATGTACGGCTAAAATAATATCTGTAGGCCCTAGGCCGTAAATGCTGCGTGCATCAACTTTTCAGAGAGGAGCAACTGTGAGCCATATGTAGAAAAGCATGAATTTCCAGGGGGCAACGAATCTAGCGTATACTTGCTTATGTGTCGACGAAGGCCTGTTGGAAGCTCGAAGGCCTTAGCCCGTTATGTAATGACTCTGTAATTGACGGGTAGTTTATAGAAGCTGCCCTGAATGCCCCTGCCTGCTGCCTCGAAAATGTGTATTTTACAGCTGTGCACATCAGGCAACTGTTCATATTAGTACAAAAGGGATCTTACTTACACCCTCCACTGAGCAGCTCACGGTGAGAACCTTTCCCCCAAATCTACCGGGCGCATTTCTCTCCTGCAAGCCCCAACAACGGAGTCTCAGAGGCTCATGAAGCTGGGGGAGCAGCTGTTGTCCAAGCGTATTAAAGGCAGCAGCGACAAGAGGAACCAATAGGCATGGAACGTATATAATTGCCAACTCCATTTGCAAGGAGGCCGCAAAGGTGTCGCAGATGCCCCCAGCGTGGGAAAACAACGTGTGAGCCGCAGGGTGCAGCGTCGGTGAGAAGATGTAGTAACTTTTCTTTACCCCTAGACTTTGGCTGCTGGTGTTGCTGCTGTTGTTCGTGAATTCAGCTGAAACAGCTGAAGTGCTCGAATCCCCCGACCCGAACTTCAAAATTCGGCCAAAAGGCAGGTTCAAAGGCAGAGTTATGAGCAAAGACGTGAGGTGAGATCGATCGCATGCACGCTCCCAGCCTGGCGCCAAGGGTGGTAAAGAGGGCGGAAGTCTCGGCAGCAACACAGAAGCCCGTTTAGCTGAGTTCGCGACTGAAGTCTGCTTGACAGGCTCATGTCGTCCCTTGCACAGACACCCCTGCTGCTGCTCGTGATGCTGCTCTTCCTGCTGCTGTTGCAATCTGGGGGCCACCGCCCCTTGTTGGACGCAAGGACTGCTATCACGGTGCATTTGGTGCCCAAGCAACAGCAACTCTTCCAGATGCTGCTGTTGCTGTTTCGGGTCCTGCTGCGAACGGAAAATCTCCAGCGAATCTTCTGGCAGGTCTGACTGCTGCCTGTTTGGGAGTTGCAAATGCTGCTTTAAATGCTTCTGTTTGGATGCGAGCTCCCTGTAGAATGCAGTCCTCTCTTGTTGCTGACGCTGAAGTTGTTGGTGCTGACCATCAGTCGGGCCCCAGCATGTAAAAGCTGATGCGAGCTGGCTCTCAACTGGACAAAGAAGCTGCCGCTTGAGCTGCTGCGGTTGTTGCTGTTGCTGCTCTTGCGGCTCTTGCTGATCGGTTGATTGCCAAAGATCAAGCCTTGTCAAGGATACAATAGGTGTAGCAGTGTCTCTGTTTTGCAGTGCCGTTCCTGCTGTGTCTGCTGTGGTGCAGGGTAGCGGCCAATCTCTGGATTCTTCAAGGCCTCCCGCTACGGCAACGTCTCCAGGCGCCCCACCACAAAGCTTTACTTCCGGTCTAATTGCTGTCGAGGTAAATGTCGTTCCGTCCGGAGACGTCCTTATTGATCCCTTGTTATTTCGAGCAGCTGGAGTGGCTGGAGCAGCAGATGCAGAAGTAGAAAACGAGTCTTCAAGGTTAGTTGGCTCACCCAAGCTGCTACTGAGTGATAGGCTACCACTACGACACAAAGACTGATCTAAAGGATCATCTGGCCAGGATGTTTGCCAATGTGCTGCTGCAGGCGTTGCTGCTGCTGTTTCAAGTGCACCAGCAGCCCCTGCCACAGCAACAACGGAAGAGTCTGACGGTTTCGCAGGAATCTCGTCACCCACGCACGCAGCCCCATGGGAAACCTCGCCGCATTGGCTGCTGGTGCTGCACGGAGTCTGCGTTTCCACATTGGGCAGTTGTAGCACGTTGCTGTCTTGACTTCGGTATTCTTGTGTGTTTCCTGCCGTGGCAACCACTGCTGTAGGATCCGCTGTGTTCGCTGTGTGTCGTCCCCATTCAATAAACTCAAGACTGGACCTGGCCGTATCTCCATGCTGCGGCGGTAGAAACGGCAGGGGCTGCTGCTGGCTTTGGTGGAGGCCTCCTTGTTTTACAGCACTGTTCTTCGCTGCTGCCGCAGGGGTGGCAGCGGTAGCAGCTGCATCAAATCCTAGCTCGCCTTGCGGTGTCTGCGGTGCTGCTGTGGATCCCTGAGACGTTGGCGAATATGCATGGGACATTCCCGGAAGAAATGCCAAGACACACGGACTATCTCCGGCACCTGACCCTGCAGGTGCTGCTGTAGCGGTGGCTGCAACGGCAGGCAGAGCTGTAGAGCTGGTGGAGGACTCCCAGATAGGAATGGTGGCATTTGCCTGCAAGCGCAGTTGTACAGTAGACACAACGCTCCCTAGCATTAGTAGTTGAAGCGCTGATTGTACGTTCTGCTGCGCATTAGCGGGACTTTAAATTTCCACTTACAATTTCCCGGGCCGAGATTCTGTGCATCTCAGGTGGGACAGGTGCATGCCGCTGCAGCTGCTGCAACGGAAGCGGCAGCAGCTGCTGCTGCGTCTGCATTTGCTGCTGCTGCTCGCAAGGGGCCGCCAAAGGCTCCTCGCCATCGGCAGCTTGTCGCTCTTCCGCAATCTGCGTGGGCTGAGTAGGAGGTGTGGCCGTTTGTGTCTGCACTGAGATATGATGGTGCTGCTTCATCTGCTGGGCCAATATCTGCTGCCGCTGCTGTTTTTCCTCATTATCCCCTGTGGCTGGTGCTTGAGAAACTACTGTTTCGTCCTTTTGCATCGACCTTTTTATCTCCTTCAAGACTTCACCCAATACATGTGGTGGATACAACGTGTCCCACTTCTTGTTGCAGAGGTGGGGAGTGAGCCCTGCTGCGACAGGTGCTGGTGCTGCGGCTTCTTGCAAGGGCATAATCGTGTGTTTATTTGCTCTCCGTTGACTCAGAGAATTTGTGAAAAATATGCTGCGCTTCCGCGCAGAGGAACTTTCTATATGGCGTGGATCCAGACCGAAATGCGGTCTGCATGTGCAGTTTGCTCGGGGCAACAAGCAGTCATGCGACACACGCGGCGGATCGGAGCACGCAACCCATACATACGGAAACAGATGTCTCTGCCATGCAGTCTAAATTGTCACAAATATAGGCGCAAGCATACACATGAGCTCAAACATGTAAACGGGCACTTATGCAGGTCCGAAAAACTCTAAGACCGCCGTCTCCTTTCCCTGTCGTTTGTCCGGGATTAAGTTTGCTGCTGCTCTTCGTGGAACGACTTGTGAAACCGCTGTTGTGGCGATTACCTCTTCTCCAGGCGAAGATGACAACTCTAATATTACGGGGCCTTAATCCACTCAGACATACCTAGGGGCACTGCCTGTTAGTCGTGGTGGCAAAAGCTGCTGTTCCTCTTGCCTCTGCTGCACGGAACTTGCGAATGCGTGATGAAGTTACCAAACGTAACCAAGTTTCTGGAGGAAGTTTAGTCGATTTCGTTGTGGAAGGAAGGCGTATCCTGTGCGTCTCTTTCCCGCTCGCTCCACCGAGCACGGAAATAAGCACAACGCGGTGTTGCTGTTGTTGTGGGTGCTGCTGCGTCCTCTTCAACAGTCTTTTCCTTCTTCTCAAGCAAAATGAAATGTTAATTTTTGGAAGAAGGCAGAAAATTAGCAACGGAATGGCAGGGCAACGGGAGAGGACCTGGTGGCCCGTGCAAGGGGCCACGGCGGGGTGCGCAACTGGTGAAGTAGCACGAACAGGTGTTTACAGTTATGGTTTGGCAAGTAGAGTCTATTATTCAGAATTCAGGGGGCAATATGTGATTGAATAAAGAAATAAAAGGTTGCCCTCAAAACCTCAGAGGATGGAAACGGAGCTGGAAGCCTCACTTCTCCCCCCAAGTCAAAGGTCGACAGTGCTCGGCGCTGCCGGAATTTAGCGCCTAGAGGCTCGCAGCCCAGCGCTCGAGCTAAGAAATCCTAGAAAAACCCCCATTTATTTTGAGTTTATGAAACAAGTAAGAGACAAATCAGAGAAGCCGTTGCCACAGCAACACGAGACACGGGCAGCACGGCACAAGTGCTCGTGCGCAAGGCCTGCAGTAACGAGCGGCTTTTGGGCGTATGAACACCCCACCAAGGGCACCAACAAGACACAAACAACAATGGTAAAAATAAGACTGAATCATCACTCGATGGAGGGGCAACGAAGCGGCGGGGCGCTTTGATGTTTGGGGGGCGGGTGTGTGCTGCCGCGGCTGCTGTCTCCCGCTTCTGTTCGTGCTAGTGCTGCGGTTTCTGCAAATGCATAGAACTCTCAGCACTGTACTTAGATTTTAGCTCCAACTATGAAAAGTATTTCAAAAATTAAGTGTTAGAGTGCAATAAGTTTTATACTGGGGCGGAAGATGGCGGTGCACGTAGTCATCACTCTGGCTGTTTTAGGGTCCCTCTTGCAACGATGCTGAGAGCAGCCACGGTGGTTCTTGAATAAGAGCCCTTTTTTATTTACGTATCCGTCCAAAATTAAAATGCATTGTCGCCGCTTCATGCACACTTTCATCCAAAACTGTGCAGTACACATTTCACTTCTAAGGGCAAGATCTCGACGTAGACGTGCACCAGCTCAACCTGAAATGTCCCCTCTAACCCCGAGTACTTTTGAGCCTTATCAAAAAAATTTTGGACAAATCCTATTACATTTCTAGTGATATACGACTGCTGCTACGTTTTGCGATGCGTCCAGAAGCGCACAATCATAGTCGGCCAGGTTCGTTGAAGAAAAACAGCTGTGGAATGACGGGAAGTAATCTTCGAAGTAAAAACAGTAGTGAAAGAAAGGCATGCCCGTCTAACTGCACACATTTTTAACATGTACTGTTGCAGGAACACGTGCTCGTCCAAATGCACAAATGTTTACCATGCGCAGCTGTAGTTTGTTAGGAAGTACTCGCTCTGTAGTTGGTACGCTTGCACCAAATTTGCGTAGCTGGCTGAATCTCTTATGATACAAAATTATGGTAATTGCATGAATATCTGAAACGTTCATGGACCTTCTACTGTACTGGCGTGCTGGCATAATGAAGCCATCCAAAAAGAATAAATTCCCTTTTTTAGGCTAGCTTCATGTTACAGTGTAATGATAAAGAAAGAGACAAGGCTCTATCAAAGCCGCTACGTGGCAGTAGGAGTACGCAATAACACGAAGCACAAGGGCCGCTTTGAAGTGGGGCAAAACGGCAAAAGGCAGTCTCAATAGGTCTTAGCTATAAATAAGCAGAAGTGTGGAGTAAAGAGCGCCTTGCGCAGTGCAGACCCGCACTTTGCTGCAAGGCCTGCTTTTAGAGCTAGCCACGGAACAGCCAGACTGCGTCCACTCCGTTGTTCTAATCACCCCTGTATGAACAGTTGATACACTAGAACTGGCGTTTATTCCTACACCATTGCAATTCGTATAGAATATATCTTGTTTTATAAAAAGAGGGAAACCGGCATGGGCTCTAATTGATGTGCAGAATAAAAGATTGAAAGCTTAGCGACGTTCCAAAATGAAAGCAGGCTGGTAGCGTTAAACATCAAGCTCAAGCGAAGCAACGAATTATTAGCCGTTTTCAATCGTTCCATAAAATGGAGACGGGCACCTGTATGCTCGAGTGGGATGCATACGAGAGAATGGGACTCCACTGCAGTAGTAATTTGACCTTTTGAAACTCTCTAAAAGTGTATATAGACTACGATTGGGTTTTTTGAATATCTAAAGCGCTGCATGTAATTGACACGCGCGGGTGCACTACTGAGCAACCCTTCACAGGTCAGCCGACAAACCAACTTGGGCTCTTCCCCAATTGCAGGTCTTCTTGCCAAGCTACGAAGAGTATACTCCAGACGTTTGGTGAAGCCAGAGCTGTGAAGCTAATTTTTCAGGCAAAATGTAGCTGATATGTTCATCGTTCCTGCGTTGGAGCATGCAGGAGAAGCTTGTTGTACCGTGTTCAAGGGCGGTAATACCACCCATAATGTTGTTCTGTGCGCCTGTCACAGCGGCTTTTTAATGGGCACCTTGTCTTTGATCCTGCGAAGTTCCTTGCACTCTTTGCGGGTGGAGGGGAGGGGAATAGCAACCTTTTCTGGCAATATCCGGGACATCAGTTCCGGCTGCATCAGCGTTTTGAAGGCCCGCTCTGCAGCGGGCCCTGTCAAGGCGTCCTGAGGCCGTCTTTCCTGTTCTATAGGTTCATTTGATCTTTTCACAGCTAGGTTACACCATCGGCCTTTCACGTAGGTTCGCGCCTTGTCGCACTGGAATTACCAGGCTACCCCATGCTCAATGAATCTAATCCCAGGACGAGGAAACACGGTATAGTCCCACTAGAAAATCCTCGATAGGCGTTCGCTCCCGCACTGGACAGTGGGTCCCGCCACTACGCGGTTGATGTGTATTGCCTCTTAGCGTCCCTATAGTGCGTTGGTATGCCTTGCGTAAATGGAGCTGAAGGACTACCCACTAAACAACGGCCGTGTTAACGAAACTTACAAATGCTCCCTTGTCAAGGAACCCGTCACGCCTACGCCTTATTGTGCCCAAAATAAGCACTGCCATCATGCCCCCACAGTAGAGTGTAACTTGGCCATCGGTCACCATATCGGCACTCAGATGCTCCCATCGACACTCCGGGGGTGCTTCAGTTCCCTCAATTTTTGTGCCTCTCCTCACGCGCACATATACACGAACATAGAGGCAGGCAAATACAACGTGGAATGTGCGCACTTATGTGCTTGCTTTGCGCTGCATAGGCAACGTAGACGACTGCAACGGATCGACCCACGTGCAGACTAGATGACCGAGCGCCGCTCGGCTCTTGTGCTCAGTAAAACAGCTAAGCCGATTCGGCCCGCGCCAACAGAGATGTTCACCAGTGGAGCTGGAATGTAATGACGTCTTATAGTAAAACAGCTAGGCTACTAATCATAGCTACCGGTAACAATACAGTCTCATATGCAATGCCGCTGTCGCCGTTACCACGTGTCGCTTCGCTGAGTTCGTTGCATTTTACGTGCAGCATTGCGGTGACCTGCCGAGCATTCATAGTCTCTAGCAAATCTGAATACGAACAGGCATCTAACAGGTTGGACATTGTCTATTCATTGTGCAAATTCAAAAACATTCCTACTCAGACGACACCTCTTGCTTGTGTGACGGTTTCCCTGTCTCCATCTAGGGGCTCAACACTACACTCGACCGACCTCGAGTGCGTTTAATGTAAATGCACGGTCCTTCAGTGCCTCTGTAGTATAAACTTTCACAAATTCACAATTTGAGCGCCTTTTAGAGTCGTCTTGTAGCGGTCGTTTGTGGTACCGCAATGACTTCAGATTCAGTGTAGCCGAAGGCTACAGCGCTTTGCTGCTGTGCTGTGACTACACGAGCGCAGCCTAGTGCAAGTGTTTGTTAATCTATGCAGTACACATGAAGACGGATAATGAAGATCTGACGAACGGTAATTCGACAATTTGCCCCTGACTTTTTGTGCCTCGGTGTTCACCCCCAACCAGCCCCTATCACCCTTGGTGGCTGGCCAGAGCCTGAAGATAGCAATAACCTGTTGTTCAGCTTAAAGCTTCTTTACCTTTTGCAGTCTTCTGTTTTATATAATTGAGGCCTCGTCAACAGTCCTAGTGCTGTGAGTGAAGGCATTGCGGCGCACTGCACATCACTCGAGACCTCAGGCTCGTCCGCGGCTAGGCCTGCTGCTTCTGCATTTCCATAGACATTCTGTCCTCCACAATAGCACTTTATACAGAATATTAGTGTCATAAAGCCGCTGAAAGTTTCAACGTATCTCCATTTGCAGTGAAAGGAGCGCCGCAGCTGCACCACCGGCCACTGCGGCTGCTGGTGCTGCGGCCGCGGTATG